TTTGATGATAAAACAAATTTTATTTTTTATTATAAGTTTTGTTTAACAAAGACTAATATAAATCATATCTCTTTTATTGATCCAAAGTTTAAATTGGAGTTTCTTAACTGTCATTTAATTATTATTTAAATGTATAGGGCAATGCAAGCACATTGTAAAATATTTTTACTCATAAAATACTAAAAACATTTATAATAATTATGAAATACTAGTAAATTGTTAGTTTTCACAATATTTAGAAGACAAAACATCAATAATTCTAAAGTAGAAGATTAAAACGGTCTAACTCACAAAAATATAACAAATTTATCACCAGATTTTTTTGTTTTAATGCATGTTTTGTGTTTATATTGGTACTAGTTTAATAGCGATGTTCTTCTCCCTAGTAGATCTAGGGTTAGGTATTTTCGCAGATTTGAAGGACTACAACTGGGGACCGTTGACGGAGTCGTGCAAAAGCACATAGAGATGACTATGACGGACCAAAATCTAACCGGTGATGGAAGATCAATTAAAGCGGCACTGATGATCGGTCCTCCTCCTGAACCACCGCCATGGATTGAACGAAGTGTTAGGGATCGAGAAATATTTCTCTATTAGCTATGGTTCTTTAGATTATTCTGTTTTTATCTGTTGTTTTTATTCCGAACTGAATGTAACTTTGGTCGTGTTTCTAGTACATAGCAGAAAAAGTTTAGAATTTAAGACAGGTGATGAGAAGTATGGTTTGTCTATAATTGGCTCAGGTAAAGTTCATTATAGGATTATCGAATCTTATTGCTTATACGGAGGTGATAGATTGTAAGTTTGGTTGAAAATAGACGATAAACAAATGACTTTTTATGGTTTTATAACTTGTTTAAGTTCTGTGGGTTTAATATATAAGCCACGTTTCTACCAGAAAATTGTTTTTTTATCAATTTATTTCCAAAGGTTTTTTTTACTAATTTTATAAACAATACTTTTTTTTACCAACTTGGTAAATTGGCCGCCAATACGAGCGAAGAACATCTATCTATCTATAGATAATACATTTGAAAGATACACTTTAGGAAATTTTTGCCACATGTCATCTTCTCAACAATTCTATTCTCAACCATTTTATTCCATCCAATACTCCTTCGGTATATTAATAGACGTATCCTGTGTATATTACGTAGTAGTATTATCCTTAGGAGGCTATACTACATACTGAGTACTAAGAAATAAATTTGAGGACCCCAACAAAATAGAATCTCATGTTTATTTTTAAGTGTTACTCGTATATCTTTTTTATTTGTACTCTGATTATCACAAAAAAAACATATCAAATTTCATAACTTTTTATTATCTTTCATATGACACCAATATTGAATATATAAAAATAAAAAATAATCTAACACTTAAAAGCATCTGCTTTTTAAGTGTTGTAACACTTTTATTTGTACACCGATTGTCACAAAGAATAGATAAGACCGGATTCGATCATAACAGGCATATTAGACATAAAATCAATCCAATTATAAACATTTTTAATAGAATCCTTCCTGAAATTTAGAACTACATACTATCGTATATATTAGATTAGAACTCAATAAATCTATTGAAAATATTCATGCATAAAATTTGGAATTAATTAGTTTGTTATGGAGTTATATAACCGCTTACAAGCATAAATGAGATAGACATGCAATATGAAATTAGATTATTATGGAGTTAATCATTCATATTTTAAAAAAATTCGATCTTGAGTAAATTTTCATTTGTCACCAAAGAACACCGGCCATAAAAATGGGAAGAAATTGAAAACACGTAGAGCCCATTTGGTAATACTAAAATTGGCTGAATCTACTGAAATTGATGAAGTTTTGGCTAAAATGACTCAATTCAACCAAAGAACAACGAATTACATTAAGCTAGCTTCGATTTTACTAAGGGTTTAATATGTTTTTAGTTCCTGCAAACACAATAATTTCAGTTTTTTAGAAGGTTTTGAACTACATATTTGGAAACATTAATAATTAGATTTACATCATTTTAGCTCTTATATTAGCCTTAAAAAAATATTTTAAAAGGGATTAAAATGCAAAATGGGACTTTAAAATTTCACAGAAACCTCCAAAACTAATTCCTTGATAATGATCTAATTGACAAAAAAATCTTAAGAACATTTCAAAATCATGAATATGAATTTATGAAATGAGTTCATTTAACTCTATAAGTCAATGTTTCAAAATAAAGGTAAAATATGTTCAATAGCAAGGATATTTTCAATTGGAATCAATTTTTTGTTCTCATTTATGAAAGTTAAAGTTATTTTTACTGTAGTGTATATTAATATAATTTTGATATATTTTGACCGAGAATTTGAGCTCTCACAAAGGTTTATTAATCTAAAAATAATACATTTCAAGGTTACCTTTTGAGAAAGCAATGTCACGTGTCCGCACAATAATAAGTCTCCTTGAATTATATTATATTTTATGTTCAAGGAGAAACATAAACAATTACGATTGTGAATATATAGAATTCATATATGATGCTACATATGTAACCAATTCAACATGCTTATTTGTATTTATTTGTGATTGAGTTATGTTCAAACACAAATTCTTACAACTATTAATTTATTAACTAATAACCTGGGGCGTGCCTTGAAAATTCTCTTTATGATAATGAACAACTCTTCCGATTGTCTGTGGGCTTTGCCATGATAAGCTAGCTATATATATCAATATGGATTTCTCTTTAGCTTTCACTCCTCCCCACATGTTAGAATAACAACTTTAGTTGTTTTTCAAGATTTTCTCTTTACTTCAATAATGTTTCCTCTTTTGAGATTTCATTTGTTTTATAAACTATTGATGCAAAAAATTGATAATAATAATTCAAATTGTTCCCGGTCCGTTCTTAATAATCCAATGAGGCAATGATTGATTATTTCAAAATAATCCCAACTTTATGGACCTTCCATCAATAATGGTCTCACGTGACGGGCAACCTGCTCAGTCATCTTTATTATAATCTCTGATTATAATAATCTCAACTATCATATTCCCACTTATTAGATCCAATAAATCAAATTATATATAATCCTAAATATCTGATTAGAGATTCTTTTCACCATAATTACATTTTAGGTAGTTGATCAAATTAGAGATTCTTTTCGCTATGATTATGGAGATTATTATTAGCGGATCGATAATTATTGGTATCATTACTTTTAGCTTTTCCTTATTGATAATGTAATAATGCAATTCGAGTATTTACCCGTGCCGTGCACGAGATTAAATGAAATTTATCTGAGCAAAAATAGACTAATATATAATTACCCATGTCATGCAATTTAATTAGATTGTGTTTGAAACAAATAAAATGAAATTTATTTCAATAGTTAATTATATGTATAATTATTTTTCTTATAATAAAATGAGAGCCAAAATCAAATTATGTTTAGACGAAGGTGATTAACAAACTGATTTCATTTGGATGCAACAGAAAATTAACATAGCGTTTTGAATTTTCCATCAAAATGTTATATATAGAGCAATAGTTTGTTTGGACCGTTCAAAATAAGATTCACTTGAAAAACATGTATAATCATATATTGTTATAATCAATTAAATTCACACTTAATTGTTGATAATTATAACTGCCACGGACACACACACACACAACATTACTTTTGTCCCAAAAGGGTTTACTAAATTAACTTTGGGTAATGATTTTAACGATTATATTTGTATATATTTTATAAATTTTATGCTTTTATGAAAATATTTTTAATAAGGAATATTTTAATATAGTTTTCATATTCAAAATAATTCTGTATTAAAATATCATGTGTCAAAGTTGACTATAATTGATCAGAAAAAGTTAATTTGACAAATCTTTTTGGGATAGAGGGACTAAAACAAAATAAAAAAAAATAAAATTTGCTTTTATCTCGTACGTGCACGACATTGATTGAAATATAGTACTAGATAGTCAATTTATATCTTTTGATTCTAAATTGAAATGAACAAAAAATTGAAAACAATAATCCCAACTATTGCTGGTCCGCTGAAAATAATCCCAACTATTGATTATTTTTGTATAATCCCAACTATATAGACTATCCGCCAATAATGGTCCATGACCATATATTACCTCTATAAAAAGTGAATTTTAAATAGAAATTAAGCGCAAAAATTAAAAGTTGAGATTATTTATAGGGATTACTTGTTATATCTCATCTCATCCACTTTAGAAACTACAAGAATTTATTCATAGGGACCATTATTGGCGGAAAGTCTCTAAAGTTGGGATTATTCTGTAATAATCAATAGTTGGGATTATTATGAGCGGACCGCCAATAGTTGAGATTATTACTATCAATTTTCCTTTTAGAAAAAGTATATATACGTACCCGGTAAAATAATCTAACTTTTGTTTTAGCATATTTAAACATTAAACTTACCAAAAGGATAACATGAATACACACAAAGAGTACTAAATGAAAATTTGTTAAATATTTTTTTCGTCCTTTATAACTTTGCCATCTTTTTATTGGGCTGTTTTAAAAATTGTCATCTTCTCTTCTCATCAATTATTTTGTGGTTCATGTTATTTCTTTCTACTCTACACAAATCTCAATCACACAATTTTTACTTTATTATTTTTCATGCTTATCATACTTGACAAAGTTATAAGGGGTAGAGAGAGTACCATCGTTAGGATTGAGTAACTTAAAGTCTCAATGAATCACATGATTGTAATTCTATTATTAAAATATAATTGTAAAGTAATTTAATTAGTAGTGAAAAGTTGTCTCAAGTGGTACATTTTCTTTCATTTTTACTCATATTGAATTGATTATAGATTTATAGTTGATGAAAATTTAAATGTGAGAACTCAAGATGTGTATATATAAGCAGATTGAGTTTATTAATTAGGAGCAGATTACTAATCATTGAGATTATTATTCTCATTATTTCCTTTAAAATATGGTAAAATGTTTAGCATATTTGTAGTTTGGTTGGCTTTTATCTCCTTAATAACTTCATCCACCCTCTATCCATTAATCCAATCTCAAGATTTCATTCCCTTGCATCTACTGTCCAAGCATCCGAATGACGGGCCTGACGGGCTGCCCCGTCCTGACGAGCCCGTTTGGGCACCTTCCCGGTGGAATTTGTTGATGAAATTTTTTGAGCATGTTCCTCATCAAGTCTAGTTTGTCCATACCAAATTTCAGCTCAAAATTCAATCGGGAAGGTCGTCAAATGATTTTTGCAAGTTAACTGGTCCGGAAAATACATATTCCAGACCAGTTAAGTTGCAAAAATCATTTGACGACCTTCCCGATCGAATTTTGAGCTGAAATTTGGTATGGACAAACTAGACTTGATGAGGAACATGCTCAAAAAATTTCATCAAAAAATTTCACCTGGAAGGTGCCCAAATGGGCTCGGCCGGAAGGAGCATCCCGTCAGGCCGGCCTGATGAGAAGAGCACTCTCGGAATGGTATAAAGCTAAATCCTCACTCAATCTTCCTTTCGCAAGTGAATTAGGAGCACAGACAAAAACCAAACGAATTAGGATAACTGCAGGGGGAATGCTGTTCCCTACCGAATTTTGGGTCGCCATAGTTGCGGCGGCGGTTTTGTGGAGCGCCGGAGGAGCCTACGGGATCAGATTCGTCATTGACAGAGAGGAGTGTTTTTCCCAGAAGGTGGAATTGGGGGAGACGGTGCATTTTTCATTCGTGGTGATTAAATCCGAAAATTCTTGGCGTTACAGTGAAGACGGTGTTGATCTTTTGGTATTAATTTACCTTCCCATTTTAAATTTTCCGGCTTTATTTAATCTTGATTCTAGATTAATTTATCTTTTTTTTTTTGCGCTTGTGTGCAATTACCTTATGAATTTGGCTACTAGATGTGTGATTAATGATTCATGCTCTTATTATGCTGTAAAAGCTCGAATCTGTGTAGGCTCGAGTTAATTATTCAGCCTTACTTAAGCTAGTTAATTTTTATAAGGCTCACGCTCGGTTTAAACTGCTCAAATTAAGCTCGGATAAAAAAACTCGACTTTGATTGTTCTAGTTCGAACTCAAAAAATCAATATCTTACTTCATTAGGAACTTTTCTTGATGATATCTTCCACTTTTGCTCTCAGTTTGATGTTGTTGATTTTTCTCATGTAAAAAGAGGAAGGAATTCAGTTGCTCACTTAATGGCTATTATGGTGTAGAACAGATATTTGTAACGGCCTTTGAGAGAGTATTATTACACTAGTAGAACTTGAGATGAAGTAGCATAAGCTTTCATTCAAAACAAAGTTGGAACTCAAGCCTGATATATATAAATATAAGAATCTATACACATGTGGCTGAAATAAAGTGTGTTCCCTTGAAAAGTGAAAACCAGTATATACACACAGCATTGACACAGGTAGTTCAAACTCAAGCGAAAACACCCAGTTATATGAAAAACGAGAACTCATTGAGTTGATTTTGGCAGATTAGGTATGCCGAGTGATTTTAGGAATTGTAAGCAAGTCATTAATAAGATGTTCATTAGTTTGAATATCATCTAACTGTTTATTCGTTAACAATATAAATGGTTTAAATGCATTATCTGCATAACTGTTTATCGACATTTTTGCTCAGAATTGTTCATTAGACGCTTTAATAATCATGTACGCACCTGCATGACTACTCCGTTTCTGGATAGAATTTGTATCACTAAAAAGCAATAAGAACTGAAATGTATTAAAAAAATCCGATTTCTGTACATTACAAGGATATGAAGAAACATGGTTTAGGAAACATGAATTGTGAGCTACTCCCTCCGCCCCCTATCTTGATCCCATTTTACCTTTTTCGTCTGACCTACTAAGTTTGTCCCATACCATATTTGGTAATGTTTGAGTGGTTGCAATTCATTCTTATTTTATTCACACTTTATCAATTAATTACCAACCACACTTGTCCAAATCTTAGAGGGACAGAGGTAGTACTTTTATTTGTTTATAAGGCATAAACTTCTAGCTTGAACATATGTGATAATAAAGTAGCAACTAGTATACCACTTTCTCTTTGTGAACATCGTTGGTGCCCATATTTAGCTCTCTAGTATGATTTCTAATTTGTTGTTTTGGTATCGTGTGGGAATCATCAGGTGAGTGGACCACATGGTCAACAGATTCACGATGTGCGCGATAAAATCAGCGAGAAGCATGAATTTATTGCTAATCATGATGGTGTACACCGTTTCTGTTTCACAAATAAATCCCCTTATCATGAAACTATAGACTTCGACCTGCATGCCGGGCACTTTATATTTCTTGATGAGCATGCCAAAGATGGTAACATTTCTTGCTCATGTGGTTGATCATAGTCACTTTTTTCTTTAATTTATTCTAAATTGTGGCCATTGTGGTTTGGCACTCGCAGAACATTTCAAGCCTTTGTTTGAGCACATCGGAAAGCTTGAGGAAGCTTTGTATAACATTCAATTTGAGGAACATTGGTTGGAGGCTCAGACGGACCGACAAGCAATAGGTATACACTTTTTTGTTAGGAAATTTCTTGAGATAACCCTAATGTTCGATGTATTTACCAAGATGACCCTAAGGTGACTAGAAATTTCACGCCTTTCATGGTTGACTGATAAATACCTTGAGGTCATACTAAAACATTGTGCATTGCTCAACTGACTAGAAATTTGAACTCTAAAGTGCATGATGTTTATATCATAAGCCCGTCTCATGAAGCCATGAGCGACCTTGGGGTAAAAGATAGATGTGTCAATCTTATAATACTTCATGTGACTGTTGGCCACATTTGGAAGCTGCTTTCAAAAAAGCAGTTAGGGCATCCCTATAAGTTATAGGTGTAAAGTAGTTGCTATATTTCACATTGATTGGACAAAATCAATGTGAGTACCAATAAAATGCTATTTGAGACTGCTTGAGAGTTGAAACACTAAAATGCTCGTTTAAAAAGTAAGGGGTTGAAATGGCCAAATCGGGATACATGGGGATTCAAAACTACAATTATAACTTGATATTTAGAAATAATACTGGGCACATTGGTTCTTACATTATGTGTTTGGCTGCAGTAAACGAAAGAATGAGCACAAAGGCAATCTACAAAGCTTTTTGGGAGTCTGTGGCTCTTATTGGTGCTAGTCTTCTGCAAGTTTATCTCCTTAAGCATTTGTTTGAGCGGAAGCTGAGGCAGTCCAGAGTTTAATCTTTGGTACTGATATATCTATTGTCCTTATTATAAGAAAAACTAATAGAAAATGTTCCATCGATCCTTTCATTATTTTTTGCAAGTACAAACATTCATATCACTGATATTATTAAGTGAAAATTATTTAATTCTTTATATTAATTATCTCCCTTGGATGTGTGAAGGGAAGAGAGCTGAAACATCCCAAAACTCAGAGGTTGAATAAAATAGAAATATTGACACATTTATCAATTATCAATAAACTAATAGAAGTACTGACAAATGGCTAGATTTAATGCTTCATCATAAAAAGAAACAAAAATCATAGCTCAAGCTTAAATAAAAATACCCAAACAATACGGAATATAAGCTCTCCTCGATTGTTTTCCAGTCATACAAACTCTCTAGTGCTGTTCTACATCAAAAAATGACTGTATCCATGTGTAGGGACAAACTCAAGAAATGTATACTTTTAGACTATTAATCACTTACTACTCGGGGATGCAAAGAGGTCTGTCTGTCTTCCATTAGAGTGATCAAAATATAGTAGTGAAAGTTATACTCCGTATGAAAATGAACAAATGTTAAAAAGGAAATATTTTTCTGATAATGATCATGGAGCACGTAAAATTGAAAGAACAAGTAAATAAAGAGTTGTGTTGGAAAAAGCTTGAAGATGCTTATGTGTTGGAAAATAAAATATTGAAGATTAACAAAAATTAAACCCATGCAATAACCTCATCAACGATTCACCATTGCCTGCATGCAGGCATGCGTTCATTCATTAATAGAAGAAAAAACAAAACAAAAAAATAATAATGTTACAACAGAGTAATAGAATTCCACGCCTGCCATCTCTTCTCTTTTGAGATGTGAGTGATAGGAGTGAGCATGACACGGTACAAAACGGTTCTCTTAAAGAACCTGTCCCATCCCAAATTTCGGTTATTTTAAAAATTAAGGTACCGATGTCGTTCCAAATAAGTAGCACTTGTACTGTTCTGTACCATATTTCAATACGGTTCGGGATGGTTCTTGGTACTATTCGGTTCTTAAATGATGTATATAACAAAATAACATATAAACTATAAATTAAATCAATATTCAAACGCTCAATTTAAAAAATTCTATTTTTCTGAAGAGAAACGTTAATGGAGCAAAAGTAAGAATGTTCATCACAATCAATCATTAACAACCATAAGATTATAATTGCGAATAACAGACCTGGACAAATTTAAACTAAGAATATTCAACATAATGAACTGAATAATAGTTCATAAGATTTGATATAGTTATTAATTATGTTGGACTACGTGAATGTGGGCAAAACTAACATTATTCTAGTAACTAATGCCTAGTTGTATATTTTGTATTCTATGATATAATATGCTATACATTATGTAAAATAAACGATTTTTTGGGAAGGTTCAGAACAGTTCAGTTTGATACGGTTCTGAGACAGTCCTGGGATGGTTCTAGTGAAGAACCAATACTGTTCCATATTATATAAGATAATCGGTTCGGTATAGTACAATACTATATTTTTCCGATTTTTCTGGTTCTGGTACGGATCGGAACAGTTCTCAGTACGGATCAGAACGGTTCTCGGTACGGAATGGGAAATCCCAGATCCGTGCTCTGCCTTAGCGAGTGATAGATAATTGCTCCTCCTTCCCTTAAAACTTTGCCATCTTTGATTTTTTGATCAATCATGTTCAACTTTTACCAATTACGGAGTATATATTTTATAAGAATATAAATATTTTACCAAATACTTTTAACAATATGTTAAAAGTATTTTCATAAAAATATAAAATTTATAACTTTCATAATATTATACTAATCAAAATCATAGTACAAACTTTATCACCATTGATCTACCTCCATCCCTTAAAACTGATCAAACATACTTCATAAAAAACTTAATTGAAAACAAAGGAAAGAGAGATTGTGTGCCTAGACGACAGAAAGAGCTTCATAGGGGTACTTGGCTTGAACAAGATTGTAGTCAGTACCGAAGAAGGTGCGGAAATTGGTCAAGTAGTAGTGCCTTGAAGCATTGAGGTCTGGGGTTGGGTAGTCATCAGACTCATATGGAGTATAAGTGTAGGGAGACCATACTAAGAACAAACCTTCAGACATTCCGGGGATAGCATCCAGATTAGCAGCATTAGCAGAGCCATCAACAGTTTTAAAACCAATCAAAGATTGAATATAAGGCAGAGCGTTAACTGGACTTCTGATGGTCATACCAGGAAGAGTATTCACATCGTTAAGATTGGGATTAAAGTGCAGGAGCATAATCATTGATCTATCATACAGCAGGGTGGAGGCAGGCAGACGACGGGGCTGTGAGTCGGGAGGGGCTCGATTGAGTGGGGGAAGAACAGAACCAGCAGCACGGGGATGGAAAAAGGATCCAGGTCGAACATACTTGTAGGGAATGGCGGAATCAGCGAACATGCAATTTTGCATGCCAAGAGACTTAGCAGCATTGGGCATTTCAACAGTAGAACCATCGAGTTCAAAAGACTCAATTATTTTTCCAGCAAGCAGGGGGAGATGGGCAGACAGGGTTTGTTCACCATCAGTGTCAAGGACAAGAACGCTTGGGGCAGTGTAGAGTTCATCAACAAAAGAGACAAGATCTTCATTGTTATCGTGGGGAAAACCATTTTCAGCAGCTGGGCTTTGGAGAAAGCAGATGTCTTGGGCACGTTCATCTTCAGAAGAAAGGTTAAAAGTAGTGATGGAAGCAAAGAGGGCAGCTTTGTTGTCATTTTCACTATGAGACCAGGTCGGAAGAGCATAAGTGGAGTAGCCGTGTTTCACAATAGTAGACGATGAGGATTTAGAAATAAATTCACTCAAAGAGGATTTACAGACAACCGTACCAGAGAAGAGGGCAGAGATTGCTTGAAGTACAACTTTTAGTACGCGCAAGTTAGCGGAGGTCGCAGAGAACAGCAGATCATAAGCATTAACATCATTGGTGGAAAAAACGGGAGCTTTTAACGAAAGAGCGGCAAAAGAGGATCGGCGCTGAAAGTTGCAGAATAACACAGAATTGAAAACTTGATAAAGCTTAGAGTTAATGTAATTGGCAGTGGTGAAAGTGGTTTGTTCGATTGTTATTCCAATAAGATCAGGAATCATGCAGTCGAAGGCAGGGGCTTGGATGGAGTACAGTACCCGAGAGTACAGGTCTTTAAGGATTTCATTTTGTGTGATATTACCAGGGAGAGTAGCGGTACAATCATGAATTGCAGCGAACATGTTCAAAGGATAAACACGCCCAAAGAATTGGTCGTGATCAAAGCCAGCAGCAGAAGGCACGAAGAGGACATTCTTCGTGCGTTCAGTTGCGAATGAGTGGAACTGGGAGAGAATTGGGACTAGGAATTCAGGTACTGGGAGGGACAGCAGGAATGTAGAAAAATCATTCCTCCATGAGGTTTCAGCCCAGACGCGGGCGTGAGCAGACGGAGCACGGCGAACATAGAGATCATTCAGCAGAATGAATCCATAGACAACGGTCATGTGATACATGCAGATAGTAGCAACAGATGATTGGGAATGTTCATGAATGATTTTGGCATGGCGTAGAGACATGAGCATGGTATAGATCAGGATGGGAGTCATGTTTGGGAAAACATCAATGATCCATTGATTAGAGCCCGAGTCGGATCGAGCAGCAGAGTTGGCTCGGAAGAGACTAAGTATATCAGCAGAGGAGTCGGGAGTCTTCACATCTTCAAAGACATGGCCGGTCACAGCCTTACTTTTGATAGTAGTATTAAGATGGGAGTTCGATGATGAAGTTGACATTGTTAATATTTTAGAGGAGGTAGTGAAGGACTTGTTAATATAGACGAATGTGAATCCTTGCTTTCTAATCTAATTAACAAACTCAATATCACACAAATAATTACGGAGTTACATTTTTATGGAGAGTTTTTGTAATTTTCCTTTCTGCCCATTATTAATTAGTCATTATTGGCATGGCAGATCATACGATTTTCACTTCTGCTAGGGAATATTTGTAGACATTAATGACCAATTTCTCCTAGGGAATATAGAGAGGTTCTTCATCGATTCCTTAATTCCCATTTTTCCCACGTGATCAACTTGTTAAAGGTGTTTACTGATAAGTTGAGAACTTTGTTTGCAGGATAAGTACCAAATATGAGTGGTGTTTGCACGTATTTACAATTATTGTACACATGCACGCATTCATAGACTTCAATGTGAGAACAAAATGGAGTATTTGATGGTTTAAATTTATAGCGGTGTGACAATTGTTAGCAAAAGCAAGTGTTAATGAGATCATTAGAAACATGTCTTTTCTGCAAACAAATAGCGGTTTGAAATAGTTCAAGAAATGAAATTGTTGTTGCTAAATAGTTCAATTTTGCCCTAGCTAGCGTTTTTAACGTTACCAATGAAATGAAAAAAATGCGAAAAGTGACGTTTTGAATTAGCATTTTGGAATATATGACATTACCTAGTAATTGATATGATCAAACAATTTAATCACAAAACATCTTTTAAAATGTGTCAACTTATTCTACTAGTCAAACTAGTTAACTGAATCAGCCAGGAGTTCGTGTTAGTGGTGTCAATTTAGCAAAACAATATTATATAATAATGTGTACATATATAAAGAAAAAAAGCAAATATTGTCATTATCTTCAAACTTTCCTTTTTCGTCCGTCCCAAAATTATCTCATTTTTCCACAAAAGAATTTGTGGTTCACAACCATTCTTACACATTCTTACACATTTCTCTCTCTTCTGCACAACTCTCCACCACACAAAACTCACTATCTTAATTAGTGTGCCCAGCCGAAATGGGAGAAAAACAG